TCAATAAATCTTGCTTTCAGCAGCCTTTCTATTTCCTCTTTGACTTTATCCACCACATCTGGAGCAAACCTTCTTGCTAGCTGCTTATGCGGACGAAATCCTTTTTTGATTGGAAGACGATATTCTACAATGTCTCTTGATAAACCAGGCATTTCATTATAGTCCCATGCAAAACAATCCTTATATTCTTTGATTAGATTAACCAACTTTTCTTTCATGCCCCCTTGTAAAAAAGCACTCACATATATCGGGCGGAAACGACCAGGCTCCCCTATATCAACTTCTAACAATGGATCTTGAGCCTCCATTGTCCTGTCTTCTTTGACCAGTGGATCTTCCCATTCATCTATACAATCTGAGGCTTCAACCTTTTGATGCGCCATTTCCGCCAAATATACAAAATACTTTTCACAAACTTCTTGCAATACTGACTCGCTTTCCATATAGAGTATGTAATTCTTCCAATGCCAAGCTTGACTTAGGGATCCATTCGGCTTTCGCATCCCCAAAGCGGCAATAAGCAAGGGACTGTGGATCTGTCCCTGGTGTTTCAACAGCATAACCTTCATATGCACAGTCTCGATATTTTTGGCAAATATCAGTCCACCCGATTGAAACATATCCCGAATCTGCCTCAACATACTCCACTTTCTCGCCATTCCAAAATGCCAAGACTTGATGCAAAGTTGAAGGTACGCACTGATTAGAGTGTATCCAATCTCTTCCGAGCAGCAGATTATATGAACCATCAGACTCTATCATAAAGAAAGTCGTTTTGGACGACTTGGACCCTATAATCAAATCCAGCACTATTGCCCCCTTGACTTCGGTAACTTCCCCAAGAAAATCAGCCAGCTGAACATTGGAAGGGATAATGTCATCATCATCCTTCCCTAATTTCTTGAAGTACTTGTAAGATACGAGGTTCAAAGTGGCTCCAGCATCTACGAAAATTTTACCGACAGACCTACCATTGACCTTTCCTGAAATAACCAAGGATCTTAGATGCTTTGCTTTTGCAGAAGGTACCTTATCAAACTTAATGGCTTCCTTGTCGGGAAACTGGAATTCTGCCATGGCTATTTCCTTTTCCGAAATGTGTTCGGTATCTTCTTCCACTACCAAATCAGTTCCATATTCCGCTGGAAGTTTAGCATGGATCATATTTATCCGTAATGGATGATCATATTTCTTTGACATTTTGGGGTAGCCAATTCGGTAACTCGTGTCATTTCCTCGTGACCATTTAGGACCCAAGTCCTTTTGCCCCACCTTTCCTTGATGTCTTGGATTGAGAGCTACAGTGAACTGCCCAAAATTAACTGTCTGAGGAGCTTGTGAAACTTCTTCTTTTTTCATCTCAACTTGAGAACTATTTCCCGAATCCCCTGGCTCTGATTTAATTTGATCTTTTTGATCAGGGTTTCTCTTCCAGACCCAATTACCTTTCTTACTAACAGATGTGAAAGGTAAATCCTGCTTTGCTATACTTTTAACTCGGCTATCTTGGAAATTCCTTTGCCTATTTTTCATCCGCTGAAAACGCCTCTTAATGGTTCTGTAAGACGCTTGTCCTGGCGATTTAACTGTCGACCATTTTCCTTCGGGAGGATTGTGTGGCACTTTAACTGTTTTTCGCTTGTGGATCTCTTGGGAATTTGACGGTGGTGGATCATCAAACTCATCTCCCCAGCCAGTCGGCACAATTGGTAATGACGGAGGTGCATAATCATCCGTATCTCCGTAATAGACCACATAGTCAAACTTCCCACTAGGTTGTCCAAGCAATCCGACTTTAGGATCACCTTCTTTATATCGTTGCCACAAATTCTTTTTCTTTGCGGGCTTGGGTAATGTTTCTTTTTCTTCATGAACCTGAGTGGTTGATTCCCGAAGTGGGAAAGCTGGTTGTGACGAACCATAGTGATATTCCTTCCTCTCACATCTTTGACTAACATCTTTTCTTTCGGGAACATGTGCTGTTTGTCTTGATTGAACTTCCTGATCTTCGGTAGCAACAATCTCAGATTTTACCTGTGGTCTACTTATTCTGCGGACAAACGATTCCGATCGATATCTCCCCCTTGTTCCTCTCATGTATTGGAACTTGGGTATTTCCCGATTCTGGTGAATTAACTCTTGGTGACAACGAGCGCAAAGTTGCTTGTTATTGTCACCTGTCATATCTCGTATGTTAAGCATACTAATCATGTTCGGGAAAGGGTCTGTATCCACTTCCATTGGGGCCTTACCTTTGTCTTCAACAAACTTAATTTTGCCTTGGCGAATTGCTTCTTGAATAGTCTTCCTAAATACAATGCAATTCACCGTATCATGGGTTGTAGAGTGATGCCACTTGCAATACCTCTTATCTGTCATTTCCTCCTTTGGCGGAATTATTTGCCCTTCAGATAACTTGATCACTCCATCCTTCAATAACAGATCAAATATCTCATCCAACTTGTAGATGTCGAAGGAATAGTTATTTGTCTCCTTAGCCTTGAACTTGGATGCATCTCTCATCCTGGCTGGCTTTAGTGCTGGGCACACATACGGTTTTTCAAGCACCATAGTTGCTACGGCTATTTCATTCTCCTCTTCGGCTATATCACCTTGTTCGGTATTTTCAGCAAATGCCACTGTATGCCGATTATCCTTGTTCGGCTTCTTATCTTTCTCCTTCAACAAGTGTTCGTACTTGGAAACCCGTGCGTTCAACTGAAAGAGATCATCAAATGCTTGTCCTTCAAATCTTTCTTTAAGGTTGAACCTCAAGCCATTAAAAGCCAAATCCGTGAACTCCTTTTCGGTAAGTGACGTTAAACATCGGTTTCTGGATTTCTTGAAACGTGCAATATACTGATCTACCGTTTCGGTACCATATTGATACATCCTGGCCAAATCGGCTACCGTTACTTCTGGTACTGTTCGGTAAAATTGAGAATGGAACTGCCTTTCCATCTCCGTCCATGTCTGAATAGAATTCGCATGCAGATTCGTATACCAAGTAAACGCTGTTTTTGACAAAGACAGTGGGAACAATCTTAACCTTAAATACTCATTAGTTCCGGCTTCTCCACATTGTGCTAAGAATCGACCCACATGTTCCACAGTTGACTGATCTTCTTCTCCTGTAAATACAGCAAAATCTGGCATCTTGAAACCCCTCGGATATGGTATATTGTCAACCCAATCGGGATGTGGTTTCCTATACACTGGCCTTGGCATTCCTCTTCCTGCTCCCAATTGTTGCATTACCAATTCTGCAACTCTATCTGGGTTCCATGGCCTTAAATTTTGCTGGCCTACCCAAGGATCTTGACCTCTAGGATCGAACTGTTGCGGTCGATTCACCCCTTGCTGCTCTACGTTGAAATTAACAGGCAGTGGTGGTCTATAAAGAGGATTTTCTATCACATGAGGATATGGTTGAGGCGCAGGTGGTCTGATATGGTCAATATTAGGCATATTCACTGGTAGAGGTACATTCGTCCCTGATGGTGCATTAGTGGTCACAGGATTAATCAAATTAACCTCATTTGAGGCATTTTGAGGGAAATTATAAGCACTCACACCATTCACAAGGTTTATAGGGGTAGGATTCTCTGGCCTTGGTATAATTCTAACAGGAGGTTGAGAATTTGATCCCCCACTACCATTATATCCAACATCAAGAGGTCCCGATGTTGGTGGGAATGATGTTGTCGCCGGAGGATTTACATAAAAGGGTGGAATTTGAGAAGATGAAGTGGGACGCGATATTACCTCATTTATAGTATTGATCACCATGGGCTTTATCACATCAGTTACATGTCGCACCATATGATTGGTAAGATCGTTCTGCTGCTCCTCAAACATCCTTCTTATCGTGGCTACCAAGGTGTTATCTGGTGCCAACACACGGGCTTGTTCTTCAGTTAATTGTCGAGGAATGTCGGCATTCTCCTCTACTTGATTTGCTGCAGAATGTTCAGAACGTGCTTCATCAACTGGATTGTTGATGTTGCCGACCGGTATTCCTTCAGATTGCCTAGTTCTCACCATTTCTCCAAATCTTACCACGCAGGTCCCACCGGGCGTGCCAAAAAGATGTTCGCTCGTTTTGCGACGAGGAATATCCTTCACCGAAACTGTGATTTTCGGTTTTTATTAAAGTAGGTTCTGTGGCTTGATTACTAGGAATATCGTGGCGAAAAAACAGAGTGTAGTGCTGGTTTATGTGGAAGCGGGTAGAAATTGAGTGGATTGAAAATGGATCTGGGATCAACAGAGTTCCAAGCTACGTTACAATACTCCTACGAAAGCGGTAAAGGGCTTGAAGGTTAACTAAAGCTACAGGAAGCTGTAAACGCAGGAAGTAAAAGTGCAAATGAAACTAAAGTGCATATAAACTTGAGTGTTTTTGCATTCTTGTGTCTGTGTTCTCCTCTTCTTCTTTCCTCTGAGTACGTATATCTCCTCCTACCCTGTAACTGCTTGTCGGTTACTTCTTTGTTTTCGAACTTTGAATTTTGGCGCTTTCAATAACTGCCTTATCTACCCACGTTTTCCAATTTCATTGTCCACCAAAACTTGATCTCAACTGCTGGGATAACTTCCAATTTGGATAAATGATCTCCCACGATCTGTTCGTGTTTACTATCTCCACTTCTTGCTCATAACTTCCTGTTGTCACGATTCACGTGGCTGGGTTGTGATCTTGCCGATTTTCGGTAACTTCAACATTTCCCGAAATGTAAACTTTTCATGTTTCGGTAAAATTACCGATTCTCTCCGGTCACAGAGTTCGGGACATGGTGCCACTCACGCTTACTATATTCCCGAATTTTATCCAAACGTACTACGACTGAGCTCCATTGTCCATCGGATTTTGACATTAAACCGACGTGACATCCATGCCGATTTTGGTGTAAACACATATATATATTTGGTTGAGTCTGTCGATTTTGATGTCCATAACTTATGACCCACTAATCAACGACATGGTTCAAGGAAAAATCTGGAACGAAGTGTAATGTGACCTAGAGTTTTAAAGTCCGCAATGTGTTAATGATAACCTGACCTTTTGCTTAGATTGATGCGAACTCATTCGGCATCGTCATGTGGAAGCTGCTGACAGGAGAAAAACCGTATGCAGATTTGGATGTTAACCACATGATAGGTGATGTTACTTCATTTCATACTTTTATCTCAATTAAGTGAATATTGGCTGCTGACTAACGAGATTGCAATCAAATCAGGGGGCATCTTGAACAACACACTGCGGCCGCAAGTACCAGCATCTTGTAATCCAGAATGGAAATCGCTGATGGAGAGGTGCTGGTCATCCGAGCCATCAGAAAGACCAAGCTTCGCCGAAATTGCAAGGGAGTTATGTTCTATTGCTTTGAAGAGCTCTTCAAAGATCTATAATCGCAGATAGGAGTTGTACATGATCCCTCAAGCACAAATATGCCAGACAAGTTGCCGATTGCAGTTGAATCCTGAAGATTGGTGCTCTGTGTGTAAAGTAGATTTTGATATTATCGGTTGTACCACTGTTTTTTTCAGGTTTTCCATTTCATAGACGTGCTTGGCAAGGCTTGCAAAGCTCCAAGATAGCCATCATCTTCCTGCTTGGCAGCTATAGCTTTTTCCCTCTGGTGATTAGTTCGGTAGGTTGCTTAAATTTATCGCCAGATACAGATTTCATCGGTACTCTTTAGGAGCTCGTGTTGTACCGACACGAAGTGTCTTTGTTTTCTGTATCTCAATTCAATGACGATTATAACATGTGCACCTATGGATATAATTTGAGCATATGTATTAGGATTCTCGACTCAAATTTCTCAAGGTTAGAGTATGACTCGCTTTTCGTCACTCTCCACTTGCATCCTTAATCGATCGTTTCTATTGCCCCGTTAAAGATTTAGGAAGGGTCAACCACCACAACATACAAGTAGTACATACATATATGTTTAAACTGTCCCAAATGATTCCACCATGTTGTTGACTGCTAACGCTATTTGCTCCTGGTAACACATCATTTCAAAAGAAGGAAGTCGCAGTGAAGTTTCCCCTGTATGACTATGTGGAGATGCCCATTCGACAACAGGGGCAATGAGCGTGAGCCTCCAGCCACGGAACCAAGCACCTTGAGTGGAATCGGTGCGCACAGGGTAGCTGAACCAGGGTCTCGCCGACCTCGAACCTCTCCAGGCAAATGGCGCACTCATCTTGGTCAGTGGCTCTCCACCTCATCATCTTACCCCAACCGAACCTCTTCGAAATGGTAGAACCGCTGCCTCTGCCGAAACTCTGCACAGCATGAACCATCGTCTGCAATTGCAATTCCCTTGCTCTCGAGCTCTCTCCATCATCGTGCCTAAAAAGATCAAGCAAAGATAACAAGTAAACGGTTTTTCGCTCCAATTCTAATTTAAAGAACTAACAAATCCCACACAACCATAGAGTCTGAAGGTTCTTGCTCCAATTCATACCTTGCAGCTAATTCCAATAAAAATAAACAAAAGAAAAAGAACATGCTGTCATAATGCAAGTTCGTCCGTTGACCTTCTCATGATTTCTGGTTTCCTCTGAATTCTCAGCCTCTCATCCAGTCTATGCTTGGCTTCCCTTGCCACTCCTCCCAGTTCCTCGTCATCTTCATATGCTTGGTTGATTATGTTCCTACCTTGCTGATTTTTCACAATGGAAGAAAATGAGAAAAGTTATGGATACATCAGATCAAGTGATGAATCTAAAATAACCTAACTTCGAATATCAGAAACACAATATGTTGAATAGAAGAGACTCAACAAAACATTACACGATAGATTTGCATACACATATGCATCTAAAACCTCTTTTTACTGAAATCTCGCGACCCTCTAATTACTTCGTCACGCAACAGAGAGAGAGGACAGAACTATGTACAAGAGAAGAGGTCGCAGCATGGTAGGTTGTGTAGAGACAGAACGAGAAACGTCTTGTAGTAGTCGTAGCGGCAGTAGTAGTGACGACCAGCGAGTCAGGCTGTCCTCGGCTATGATAGAACCTTCTTCTCCAGGCAAATTCAACACCAAGAAGCATCCTTACAATCGAGTTTATGATGTATACGTACTAGAATTAAGTCGGGAATGAGCTTTGGATATATTCAGTCGACGAATGAACATATGTATAGAGAGATAGAGGGCAGGTGTTGCAGAAACAAGGAAGATCTTGCAAAAATCTGTTGCTCAGTATATAAAAAGTGCAGGTGAAAAGTATAAATCGAATAAACGGTGTAAAAAAATCTTGTCATTTGTGTAGTTGAGATTTAAACTAAGGAAGTTCATTGCATCTTTGCTTGCGTAACTCTTTTGCCTTCGTTTTTCTTAAAAAGTAACGAAGCTTCATTACCACGAAGTTTTAATGGGCTGTCCAGATAAGTCAAAACCTGCTACATACGTACGTACTTGCATCCTCAATTAATAAATTTAGGCGGCATGAATTGCCTTAGTTTTCACCTCTGAATTCAGCATCTTAAAGGCTTCACTAGCAAGAGACTGAAGTTGGCGTTCGGACTATGACTTTTGCCGGGATAATTACCAAAGAAAAAGTCATAAATTTATTGTACAGATATCAATTTAGTACTAAATATTTCAATTTAACCAATTTAGTTTTGAAGAATTTGACGATTTACCTACCTTTTTTTTTTTTTCTGTTTTTTCCTTCTTCCTTAGCTGGTTGCCAGCCTTGGCGATGGCCATGACCGACCACAAGCGAGGGCCGGCAAGGTCAACTTCACCAGCCTTGGGTGAGGCTCGCCCAGCCCCGACGAGGCTTAACCCTTGCCAGATCCGACGAGGGCAAGGTTGGACCTCGCTGGATACAGCGAGGTTGATCCTCGCAAGTGGCTAGGCAAGGCTTGACCCTGCCCGATCCGACGAGGTTGATTATCGCTAGTGGCTGGGCAACGTTGACCCTCATCTATGGCTGGTCGTCGACCATCGCCAAGGCCCGTTGATTGACTGAGAAAGAAGGAAAAAAGAAGAAAATAAAAATTCAAAAAATTATAAAAAAGCAAAAAAAAATTATTTACTTCAACGTCAGACATGCCACGTAGCAATTTCCAGTCAAAATTGGCGAAAAAGATTACATTGGCAAATTGTCAAAGGATTTAGGACTAAATTAGTGAAATTGAAAGATTAATAACTGAATTAACATCCGTACAATATGTTTAAGAATATTTTGGTAATGTTCCCGATTTTTGTCTGTTGAGAAAAAAAGGTAACTTAATACACACAAGAGAGAGAAAACTCTAAATATATACACCGTGGAATTTCTCTCTTGGTACACCGTATTAGCATAATAAAAGATTAATCGATCGACATCGCATTCTTGTTAGTTAATTCAAGGTGCGTTTTTTGCCTCGGTTTTTGCGTCATATTGCGATCAAAAGTTTTTTTGTTGATTCGAATGTAGGGAGGGAAAGAGTTATTCTAAGTGCTTGACACACGTGAGTTCAATGCATGCGAGTCACTGGATCGCGTAATTCTAATGGGGATACCATCAAATTTAACAGCTCAAGCAACTGCAATTATCAAACACAAGCAAGGACTATTGATCGCTTGTCAATAGATATATAATCTATCGCTATCCTAGGGCGCGAAATGTATATAAAATATGTACGTTTTATTTCCATGCAAAATTGTTAAATAATCCCAATATAATTGTGCCTTTATTTGTATGCTCTATTTTTTTTTATTTTAAACGACCAGGGCCTTCTTTTGGACCAAGTAATTGCTACATAAATTGTGTTAGAAGTTCTCCTCTTTTCTTTAACTTATCTTGGGGCTTTTAGCCTAGCGATTAGACTTATTATTCATTGGTTCCATTTCGTATTCAAGCCCTAAACTCTTCCGCTCACCAAAACTTCATTTAATTAAGAGAAATAAGTGCACTGGAAGTCCTAAAACTTGTCACAAAAGTGCAATTGAGTCCTAAACTTTCAAAAAGTGCAATCAAGTCCTATAACTTGTTGTCAAAGTGCAATCGAGTCATAAAACTTTCAAAACGTGCAATCAAAGGAAAGACTTGATTGGATTAATTTGACAAGTTTTAAGATATGATTGCACTTTTTGAAAGTTTTAGGATTTAATTACACTTTCGTGATAAGTTTTAGAACTTTTAATGCACTTATCCCTAATTAAAACTTTTGGGAGAGAGTTCACATCACAACCTTGCAATAAACTCAAGATAGCTTCGAAAATACATACAACCCATATTTTTGTATTAAAAAGAATAGTCTAAATCAAAAGTAACTGCCAACAGTCTCTTATCAAATTACATCAAGTGACCCCCACCATTCACGGTTTGGGAAAATTACCAAAAAAGTCCAAACATATTGTATTTGTGTCAATTCAATATAAAACCTTTAAATTTGGCCAATTTAGTCATAAACATTTTAATAATTTGCCTACGTAGTTCATCTGATTAATTTTGATAGGAAATCGCTAATGTGAACGCCGACCGACTTACGTGGCACAGCCGGCACTAACGTGGACAAATTTTTAAATATTTTTTTATTAATTTTTTCTTCTCCTCTCTTTTCGTTCTTTTCTTTTTATTTTCACGCCGGCCACTAGGTGAGGCAACCTCACCCGGATTTGGGCGAGGCCATGGTGAGGCTAGCCTTGCCCAAATCTAGGCAAAGCTCGCTCGCTCGTGGCCGACGAGGCAAGCCTTGCCCAGACCATCGCGGCCGGGGCTGAGGCCTCCTTGCCTAGATTTGGGCAAGGCGAGCCTCACCAGCCAAGGGCAAGGCACTATGATGGTTGCCCTCAGCTACCATGGCCTCGCCTAGAGACCAACGAGCTCCGATAATCCTCATTAGCCACAATAAAACAAAAAAGAAAAGAAGGAAAAGAGAAGAAAAGAAAAAGGAAAAAAATTAATAAAAATGAATTAAAAAATTTGTCTGCATCAGTGCCAGCTGTACCACGTAAGATGACTAATATCCACATTAGCGATTTCCGGTCAAAATTGGCCAGATTGACTACATTGACAAATTTGTCAAAGGTTTAGAATTAAATTAGCTAAATTGAAAAGCTTAGAATTGAATTAATACAAGTGCAATAGGTTCAAAACTTTTTTGTAACTATCCTTCCGTGGTTTTGTATCCAGTTCATATGTTATGAGACTCGTTGAAACATTTCTTTTTTCCTGTATTTATTTTTTTTATAAATATATACAAATACACGATAAGATAGGAAGTACGGTTTCTAAGGTCACGTCAATATTTTTCTTTATTATCAGTAAAATATTTTTTATTCGATAAGATTTATTGGAAAAGAAGAATGAAATAGATGTACTTAGGGGTGAGCAGAATATGCAGGTTAGGTTCCAAGTTCAAAAAAATGGGGAACCTGTTTCGACGAGTAGGTTCCAGATTCTACGTAGGTGGAAACTATAACTTAAAATAAGTTTTGTGTTTTTTTTTTTATGACTTCACGTGATCCTACGGTATTCCATGGCGTCTAATAATGAGTGTATAATATGGAGCCACTAGTTTGGGTTTCCATTTTATGACTGAGAATTTTACTTTGTTAATATTTCATATTTTTTGTGTGTATGAATATAAGTTATGGTCAGTGAATTGTAGCAGCAAGTGACAGTCATTAAAGACGATGATTCGTTACAAACGTTCAATTAATAATACAGGTGAAACCTAGGTAGGATCCTGAGACTGATCTTGGAACTTATGACAAGGTAGGTTCTATATTATAGAGTATGCAGAATTGGTTCTAAGTTCCAAAAAATGAGAAGGTTTACG